GCTCTTCTCTGAATGTTTGATAAGTTCTCCAGTAAAGCTGTCTGAATCAGGACTTTCTTGTTGATAGTTTTTTTTTTTTTTTAATGAGCTGTTCAATTTCTTCTTTTGTTTTGGATCTTTTCACCTTTTCTATATCAGTCTGTGCTAATTAGATAAGTAGTGTGTTTGTAAAAATCTGTCCATTTCTTGTAGGTTTTCAGTTTTGTTGGAATATAGTTCTTCACAGTGTCCTGGTATTATCCATTTTGTTTTGATTGGTTCTGTCCATTTTGTTTTGGTTGGTATCTCTTGCAGATAACATTGATGAGTCTTTTTTTTTTTTAATCCATTCTGCAGCCCTTTTCTCTTGATTGGTGCATTTAATCCATTTATATTCAGCATAATTACTGATAAGTATGAAGATATTGCTGCTATTTAAAAATTTTTTTTGTGGTGTTGCTGATTTCTTTCTTTTATATGATTTTCTGTGCTGAACTCATTTAAGAATTTTTAAAAATATTTTACTTTTTTGCTATTGTTTTAGTATTAGCCTAAACAATTGTGCTTTTACTCCTTTGTATTTTCATGAGGTTTATTTATTTTCTTTGACGTTACTCCTTGATTTATTATTTTCTTCCCAAATTTAAAGAGTCTGTGCTATCTCACAATCTTCTTCCTTTCCTCTCAGTTTGGAAGTTCTGTAACTGCACTGTTTATTGCCTCTTTTTACTTTGTTGTTGTCCTTATTTACCAACTGATGTCCTTGGTTTCATGTTTAGTCTTGTAAGTTTATTTTACTTTAGATTCTTCTATATCTGGGTTGGTTTTTGGATTACATTATCACGTATGTTAATCACAGGTTGTTTTCTGTTGTTGGTTCTGTGTCCAAAAGACTCCCTTTAGCATCTTTTGTAAGGTTGGTCTGGTTTTAAAGAAATTCCCTTGTTTTCTGTCTATCAGGAAATGTCCTACTTTCACCATCATATTTGAGGGAAAATTTTCCTGGATATATAATTCTTGGGAGTTCTGGTGGCGTAGTGCCTAAGGCATCTGACTGCTAACCAGAAGGCTGGTGGTTCAAACCCATCAGCCACTCCCCTGAAGGAAGGTTGGGCAGTCTGCTTCTGTAGTGATATCACCTCAGACACCCAGGGAGGAGGGGTCCTATGCGTCAGACCTGACTCAACAGCAGCAGATATATAATTCTTTGTTGCTCCTTTTTTTCTTTCAGTTTTATACATGTCACCCTATCACCTTCTTGCCTGCATAGTTTCTGCCAAGAAATCAAAGCTAGTCTTATTGGTTGCCTTTTGTTAGGTAATTTTTTGTTTTTCCTGTGCCACTTTCCATATTCTTTCTTTGTCTTTGGTATTGGAAAATTTGATTATGATATGTCTTAGTGATTTTCTTTTGGAGTCAGTCCTGTTTGGAGTTTGTTGAACTTCTTGAATGCATTTCTTCTCATCTTTAATTTTATTAGGGAAATTTTCTGACAACAAATCTTTTCAATTTTGTCTGTGGTTTTATTTGTTTTTTCCTGTTCTGAAAATCCAACACATGTAAGTTATTCTTGATGGGGTCCCACATAAATCTTAAACTTTCTTCTGCTTTATTGTTGTTTTTTTTTCTGATTGTTCTTGTAACAAAGTTGTTTTGAGAGATATATCTTCAGTCTCGCTAATTCTGTCTTCAACTGATTCACGTCCACTCCTTTGCCCTTGCAATGTGTTGTCTATTTCTGAAATCTTAGTATTAATCTTCTGGGTTTCTGTTTGCTATTTTTGTATGGTTTTTATTTTTTCATTTATTTTGTCAGTTTACTGTATTGTTTCCTAAATTATTCTAGAGTTTTGTCAGTGTTTCCCATTCTCTCAACCCATTGAAAACACCTAAATTTAATTCTCTAATTCCTTATCAGGTAGTTACAGTGCCACTTCTTCAGGGAGATTTTCTAGCTCTGTATTTTTGTCCCTTGTTTGTACTATTTTATCTTGCTTCTTTGTGTGGACTGGATTTTGTCACCTGTCTCTGAGACATTGTGATGTCTTTGTATTTTTATTTAATTGATGATTGTGTGTTGGTGTTATTCATTCAGGGTTTTCCCCCTCCCCCACCTCTATTTTGTTTTGTTATATCTGAGTTGAATGCACTAGTGCGCTATTTTGGTTTGGCACCACTTAGGACTCACCACCTGTCTTCTGGTGGGTATGATAGAGTATGAGAATGGGTGCACACATCTTTGTTAGCTGTTTGTGTAGAGCAGCTGAGGGTAGATTGGGCTGGTACTGGCTGTCATCTGTTGTTATCACTTGGTGCAGAAGCAGGTGGTGGCACTCACCCAGTGGGTGTGGCTGCAGAAATATTGGATGTAGTCGGGTAGTGTCAGCAAAGTTGCTGACACCTGCCCAGGTGGGACCAAAAAATAAGGCAGGCACTAAAAAGTAATAAAATCAGGAGGACAAAAAGCAAAATAGCATAAACAAGCAATACCTAAAACCAGACTCACTGCTGTCAAGTCGAATTCGACTCATGGTGACCCTTCCTTGGGTTTCTGAGGTGGTATCACTGCGGAAGTCGATTGCCCAATCATCTTTCCAAGGAGTGGCTGGTGGGTTTGAACCACCAGCCTTCTGGTTAGTCAAGTGCCTTAGGCAATATGCTACCAAAGCTCTTAAACGAGCAATAGCAACCATGCACAGAGAAGATAATTAATGAAAAGATTAAGGAATGTAAAAGACATGTAGAAGGAAAAAGAAACATAAAATGTACATTCTACAAATGTAGAAGGAAAAAGAGCAAAAGAAAAAATCTGGGAAGGGGAAAAAAGGAAAGAGCAAAAGGAAAAGAATAGTAAAGAGAAAATAAAATAGTAAAAAGAAGTACAAAAAGGAGAACAAGTGATGGGAAAAACAGGGGAAAAGAAGAAAGAAAAAGAAGGGACCAAGGAAAATGGGAGGCGGGAGGACAAGAACCTGGGAAGGAGAAGAATAGAAAACCCAAAAAGAAGGAAGGGAGTTTAAAAAGGAGAGTGGGAAAAAAAAAATAGAGAAAAGAAATCTGGGATGTAGGCAGTGTACTAGGGTGATTTCTGCTGGCCAACCAGGAGAACAGCAGAGCACCTGCTTCCAAAAGTGGCTGGGAGTAGTAGTGTGTCTCATCTTGGAACTAGTTCCTGCATATCCAGAAGCAGCTGGGCACAGGGGCCCTGATCGCAAACAAGTTCCTGCTGGCCCAGAAGATGTCTTGGGTTAAGGTGCCTGGACCCAGAAAAGTTCCTGTCAGGCCAAATAGCAGGTGGGAGCAAGGTGCTTCGGTTCAGAAAGAGTTCCTGCTGGCCCACAAATTAGTTGGGGTCTGGGTGTCTGGCCAGAAAAGAATTCTTGATTTCATATATGGCAACTGAGTGCAGGGCTCTTGCTCCCAGAAAATGCTCCTGCCATCCCAAAGGGTGGCTGGGAGCAGGGCAGCTGCTCCTGGAACTACATCTCATTCCCTCTGGTAGCAACTGGGAGTAGGGTATGTGATCCCAGACAGGGCCTCCACTGTCTCAGAAGATGTCTGGGGGTTGGGTGCCTGGAACCAGAAAATGTTGCTGCTGTCCAAAAAATGCTCAGTTTCAGAGGGAGCTCCCGTCAGCTTCAAAAATCAGCTGTGGGCAGGATGTCCAGTTCCAGAAAAAATTTCCATTGTCCCAGAAGTCAGCCGGGTCCAGGCTCCTTCCTGCCAGGAAAAGAGCCTCCTGTCCCCAATCACCTGGTTACAGGGTACCTGGTCCCAAAAAAAGCCCTCACTTACCCAAAAGGTTTCTGGGAGCAGGACTGTAGTCTCAGAACCAGCTCCCTGCTGCCCAGAATGCAGCAGGTGTCTGGACTAGGATACAGTTCCAGCCAGGGTTTTGGGATGGCAACACCTCCATTCACTGGTGGGAGGGCATTGGGTATAAGAGGATAGCATACCTTTCTGTCGCTAGCCACCAGTGTGGTTGACCATGCAGTCTTTGGCAAGCAGAGCCGATTATCAGGTTGATGTCCCTGTCGAAATGTCAATTGCAATGTTCAAGATGGCTGCACAGTCAGGCCAGACAATAGTTCACAACTCCAGTTGTCTCCTTATTCATTGTTTTCATTCACTTTCTTCTGCTAGTCACTATTTAATGCACTTTATCTTTCCTTTTGAAGCTCAGAGTTTCAGGTTTATTTTCTGTATCTGTTTCAATTAGTTTCTTGTTTCTTTGTTGTAGAGGGTCTTTATAGCTAACCCAAGCCTATGAAAAAGCTTTACCAAGTTGTGATCAAAGTACTTATTTACCAAGACCCTCCTCTGTGATGAGACACCATCAAGTAGTGATGAAAGTAGCAGTAGAGCCTCCCTTCTAGTAGTTGGGGGACTTAGGTGGTGCTGATAGTGTCTGGATTGGTTGATGAGAAGTGTTTACCCATTGTTATGATGATGTTGATTTTTGTACAGTTAAGGTTAAGTAATTTGCCCGAGGTCAAATTCTGATTGGATTCCAAAGGTCATGGAGTTTGTTCAACTCAATTTTTGTCTTCCCAAATACTTTGTTGTTGTTGTTGTTATGTGCCATCGAGTCGGCCCCGACTCATAGCGACCCCTCCTTGGGTTTCCGAGGCAGTATCACTACAGAAGTAGGATTGCCCAACCTTTCTTCCGAGGAGTGGCTCAAATACTAGGGAGAGCAAAAGAATTTTTTTTTTTTTTTTTTTAAATTTCAGATTCTCTAGAGTAAATGGGTACTTAGTACCAAACATCTATACAGTGAAATTGAGCCTCTACTTGAGAAGTATTTTGAGCAGAAAGAAACCTAACCTGTAGCTGTCAGAGTTTTTAAGCACTACATTCAGTAAATTAATCCATTAGTTAATTTGTGTGTTCATCTACCTATCCACCCTTTTGTCCATGTAGTAGCAGTTAAACAGTTTGAGAACACGGTATTTGTAATAAGTTGAACTAAGTGTAAATTAACTCATTTGGTTTTATTTATTGTCTTTTATCACCTCTAGCTGCCTATCCCCACCGTTTGAATCTCTTTTATCTTGCCAACGATGTCATACAGAATTGTAAAAGGAAAAATGCCATCATATTCCGTGAATCGTTTGCTGACGTACTTCCTGAAGCAGCTGCTCTAGTGAAGTAAGTAAATTCTTATTGGTCTTTGGGATCTATGTTTAGAGAATTTAGAATTTAATTTCCATTTTTACCCATTACTAAAAACTAATGGTTACATCTACTTGAAGATCCAAGAATATTTTGCCCTGCTTGAATAATTTCTTTTAGAAGGACCAGCACAAGGCTGGTCTCTGTGAGGTGAAGATTAAAGATGTCACAAATGTCCAACTTTTCCAAACTGCTATACCACTCCATCGTCTCTGATACCAAATATTCTTTCCCTCAGCACTCTCCCTGTCTCATTTTAGGATTCCATAATTCTCTATACTGTCTACACAGAACTCACGAACCACCAAAGAAATGGTTTACACATTTGTGGAGGCTTGCAAGTCCCAAATCTGTGGGTTAGGCATTAGTCTGGAGGATTCTCTTCACTCAACATTGTTGTAGGGGTGACTGACCCAAATTGGCAGTTCACACCACAGGCTGCTGTCTCACAAGGCTGTGGAAGCTGGTGAATCAGGTCAGACAGTAGGAACCAGAGGTCAGATGATATGAAACAGATGCAGAATACAGAACAAGAGAGAGAACTTTTCCAGAGTATTTATATATATTGGATGCAGACCATACCCTCAAGGAAACTAAGGGTGGTGACTTGAGTTATACCCTCTAGTGACACAGTGACTCAGATATCACACCAAAACCAGACTCACTGCCGTCGAGTCAGATCTGAATCATAGCGAACCCTCCTGGGGTTTTCGAGGCAGTATCACTACGGAGGTAGATTGCCCAATCTTCCTTCCAAGGAGTGGCTGGTGAGTTTAAACCACCAGCGTTTTGGTTAGTAGTCAAATGCCTTAGGCACTATGCCACCAGAGCTCTTGACTCAAGATACATACATACCACCCTAATCCTGCCTCGTAACTTAACAGACAACTCCAAAATGGTACCATAGCCATTGTTGTTAGGTGCTGTTGAGTTAGTTCAGACTCATAATGACCCTTTGTACAGTAGGATGGAACACTGCCTAGTCCTGCACCATTTTCACAGTCATTGTTATGCTTGAGCCCATTGTTACAACCACTGTGTCA